GTTTGCCAGTTGCCCCTCCACCGTTGTCTGCACCTGGAATTGTTCAAGAGTACTTCTATACTTAGATGCTGCTTTAACACCTTATTGTTGCTTTTAAAGCTTAAAATAATTAGTAGATTTATGGCTATAGTTTGAGTTCTCACCACCCTATAATGTGCTCTTTAATTAATATGTTCATTTCTCTATAAGTTAGAAAAAAAGTACATTGTTAGATTCCCCCCCCCATATAGCCATTTCAGTCATATGCACATCTATAATGAAGTGATAAGAATGATAGCTAGCATCATAGAATGATGTTAGCTGAAAATAGCTTAGTACTTGTATTACACATGTTTTGTTGAGCAAATTTATTTATATATATCACTGCTGCATCCATTCAAAATTGGCCAGCAGAGCTATTCTGAGTAGTAAGAGGTCTTCCACAAACTGGTTTATGGGGTGGAAAAGTGAACAGGTTGGCATATTGCAGATAAAATTACAGTGGAACCTTGGTTTACGAACTTAATTCGTTCCGTGACTCTGGTTGCAACCCGAATTGGTCGCAACCCGAAGGAAATTTCCCATAAGGTTCAGTGTAATTACCGTTAATCCATTCTGGCATGGAGGACAGGGAGGCGGCTGTTGCTTGGTGGGAGAGTCCCCCTCCCTACGACCACGTGTCAGGGGCGGAAAATGGCCGCGGATCACGTGTCAGGGGCGGAAAATGGCCGCGGACCACGCGTCAGGGGCGGAAAATGGCCGCGGACCACGCGTCAGGGGCGGAAAATGGCCGCGGACCACGCGTCAGGGGCGGAAAATGGCCGCGGACCACGCGTCAGGGGCGGAAAATGGCCGCGGACCACGCGTCAGGGGCGGAAAATGGCCGCGGACCACGCGTCAGGGGCGGAAAATGGCCGCGGACCACGCGTCAGGGGCGGAAAATGGCCGCGGACCACGCGTCAGGGGCGGAAAATGGCCGCGGACCACGCGTCAGGGGCGGAAAATGGCCGCGGACCACGCGTCAGGGGCGGAAAATGGCCGCGGACCACGCGTCAGGGGCGGAAAATGGCCGCGGACCACGCGTCAGGGGCGGAAAATGGCCGCGGATCACGTGTCAGGGGCGGAAAAATGGCCGCGGACAGTGTCACGGGCGGGAAAATGGCCGCATATCCTGTTCGTACCCCGAGGTGGAGTTCGCAAACCGAAGCAAAAATTTGTGGCCGGAGCTGGTTGTAACCCGAAAAGTTCGTTAACAGAAGCGTTCGTAACCCGAGGTTCCACTGTACTTGTATCCATTCTGATTTGAATGCTGCTCTTGGAACAGTACATTGATTGGCAAATGAGAATGGACACATTTCAATTTGTTCAACTTGAAGATTTGGACAGGTTATTAGAGTGGTAAAACCAACTATTCAATCCTGGTCCATTCTAAATGTATGGTGGGAATAGTAACTGCCTCGTTTGAAGTAGAATATAATAAAATCTTCATTGAAAAAAACCTGTTGGTTCTCCTGTACAGTACTGGAACATTCTAATATATTCAGTCTGCAAGATATTGGGGGGGCAAAGTTCATTAGTATGTAATGGCTTTTCACTTTCATATTTTTCTAGTTGAGATAGATATTTCTATTTCTGTTTGACTTTAAGCCTGGCTTTGAGACTAAAACAACCTTGGTGAGTGTTCTATTTGGGAACTAGACATCTCAGTGGCTTTTAAAACGATTGATGGTGGCGTCTTTCTGAATTAGCTTGCAGGAATGGAAAGTAGTTATGCCTGTGAAGGCTGGTTGTTCAATATATTGCTGAGAGATACTTATTTACCTTCCTGATAGCCTCTGGGATTCTACACAGGCCTGTTCTCTCCCCAAGACAGGCCAACTTGCCTTAAAAGGAATAGCCCTTTGATGGAAAGCATGGGTTCTTGGTGTAGGGACTCTAGTAGATTCCACCTAGTCTCTGGCCAGGAGAGCTTTCATCAGTGGAGGATAATATATTACTTTATGTTCATTTCTACAGAACGCAGTTTGATTGGACTAGAAAAAAGACCTTTTTGTGGCTGCATTGTAAGGCATCTTAACTGTTACTTTTCTGTTGCTGTTTGTGTTTTTATATTTCTGTATTTTAGAATATTTTTGTTATTGTGAGCTCCTTAGAACTTTGTCAAAACAGGTGAGATATACAGTACATGTTTTAAATGAATACACTTTCCAAAAATATGTTTGTTACTATGCTCCTTTGGGATATATGTCTTACATAAATTATCTGCACATTCAAGGAATAAACTTTTCTAGAACTTGAATGATGGGGAGAGAATTCAACTCAAATTGAGCTCTTTTTTACTAGTATTTGGCTGTCTTCAAGACAACATATTGTAAAACTAACTTACAAACCAGCACATTTACTGAAATCTACAAGAACACAGCATAAATAATTTTAGGAACCTAAACTAAATAATGTAAATGCATTTGTCCTGGCTTATTAGATCTTAGCAGCTAACATTTTCAGAGAAAATGGAAGGTTTTTGAATAAAAATGCCATATGGGAATTCAAAATGAAGACAGAAAAGTATTCCCTGGCAATGTATTAGTTATATTTATGGGGATAGGACAAATTCAGAATATAACTTCAGATTCTAAGCATCATAAAACTGGTTGTCTAGAACTCTGATGACACACGAAGGATATTATTTCTTGGACAATAACAGCTCTATAATACAGTCTCTTAGGTTTCTGAAAAGGTCTTGCTTTTCTGCAGCATCGGCACGCTTAGAATTGCAGTCTTTTATCATTCTTATTACTTTGACTTAATCATCTATAAATTATTTTCTTTTAGTTAAAACTCCGATGTTTCCATATTGTGGTTAAAAGGTTTAAAGCTTTTGTTGTGTTGAGGCTGCTCACTGGAATAAAAGCCTTGGATTTACGATTTTCCTAAATTTATTCATTTACAGATGTCTTAAGGATTCTGACAGAGAGATTTCTACCTCACATAAATCTTTCAGAATTGGAGAAAGTCTTTTTCTCCAAAATATTGCCAAAGGTATGACATTGTATGTTATGAGTTGGAAAGTGTGAACTGATAATTGCTCTGTGTGTGTGTGTGTGTGTGTGTGTGTGCCTGTGCCTTCGAGTCAGTCTTGACTCCTGACAGCATCCTGGAGAAGTCCCTGCAGTTTTCTTGGCAAGGTTTTTCAGAAGTGTCTGGCCATTGCTTGCTTCCTAGGGCTGAGAGAGGGGAACTAGCCCAAGGTCACCCAGCTGGCTTTGTGTTTAAGGCAGGACTAGAATTCACTGTTGAAATGTGCGTAATTAAGCTGTTCTCCAAGAAGCAGGCAATTTTATTCATTGATTTGGATACAGCATTTGCTTTAATGCTTAGCATTCCAAGGAACAGACAAGACCACATCTTGAAAGCCCCAGAACACTTCTTAGATAGTGTCACCCACTTTTAGTACAATTTCAGTACAAATGATACAATTTTCTGCTTTTGTTTTGTAAGGGTAAGCTAACTTGCTTCAGCCCACCCCATCCTAAAGCAAAAATGTTTTTAGCCTCACCCTCCAGGGAAGTTACTGGGTCACTAAAGATGCCCCCTCTGATTCTTAGAGTCTTAATTAAGAAAAATGTGTAGATCCCAGTTCTGTTGACAGTGAAGGGCTTGTTTGGGTCAGGAAAATTAGCGGATTTTGGATTATATAACTCTTTTTTTCCTGAGAGAAAGAGAAAATAAAATTGTTGGAAAGCAATTACTTTGATTGAAGTTCCTCAGTTTATTCTGCATTAGGTTAATAGTTTCTCTATAAAAATAATTTCTGAATGGAGAAGCTTGTTTGGAAATGAATTTGATATATTGGTTCAGAAGAGGGGGGAAAAACAGGAATTATTCCAGATATAGGAGTTATGTAATGTACTGACTTGAACAAAATAGTGGGGTTTGTACATATTATTTTAACCATCATTTGTTGAGAAATCAGAGTGCCCTGGTTCACACATAATGCTAATCTGTATACAATATTTTACAAACCACAACGGGTTAACTCATTGCATTAATTAATTAATTAGCCAGTTTGGTTTAGTGGTTAAGGCACCAGGCTAGAAACCAGGTGACTGTGAATTTTAGTTCTGCCTTATGTAGGCAAGGAAGCCAGCTGGGTGACTTGGGCCAGTTGCTCTCTCTTAGCCCAATTCATCTCACGGGGTTGTTGTTGTGGGAAAATAGGAGGACAAAGGAATATTAAGTATGTTCGCTGCCTTGAGTTATTTATAAAAATAATAAAGGCAGGATAAAAAATCTAAAAAAAAAAGTACCACATTATAACTTAGTGTGTTGTGTGAGCCCTACCATTGTCAAAATGGGTAGAATTATACCAGCTCTAAACCAGTCACCCCATCTAAAATCGCAGTGCCATTTCCTCTCATGTTTACCTAGTTGAATGCATGGTCAGATTAATAGCAAGATTACACAAGATTGAAATTTAATTACCTAAAAGAATGCAGTGCATAATTCATTTACGTATTTACTGATTTGTATGTTCATGTGCATTTACATATTTCTCATTCTTGAAATTCAGTAAGCTTGATACTTTTCTGTATGATGGAATTTGCATTGTATGTCAGTTTTCTGGGAAGGGTGATTTGTCCAATAAAGTGTCTTACATGAATGGATCAGCAACAAAAGTTAAAAAACTGCTTTTTGGAAACCTGTGTTGAGAAATAAAGAATATTGAATCAAATGAACACTATATAAATTATTTGATTCAATAATTTGGACAGATCATAGAAGAATATAGCAAGAGATTATTTTAGTATTTTATGTTTCTGGCAAGTACTGTATGCTGTTTTAAAATACATGAGAACCAGGGCAAGGGACTTTGGTTTGTGACGCTTCCCTTCCCATCCATGTTACAATAGATTTTTCAAAAGCTTTCATGGGTGTCAGTGAAAGATTTTTCAGAATAGGAACTATGGGGGGGATATTTTTGTGTATGCCAGCAGTGGATGCAAAAGACAGTGCTAGGAGTGTTATTTGTGTCATTTGAGAGTAACTGCTTGACAAAGATGTCACTACCTAAAAAAATCACTATTCACATTGCAGATGGACTTGATAATAGCTTTTTAAGGTTTTTCCTAAGTCTGATATTGGGGAGGGGAGAATTATAGCTCCAGTTAATCTTGGGGAAACTATTTGTATCATGTGTTTGTGTTTATATGTGTGTTTTTGTATGTTGATGAAAGGTGTGTACATGTATAAGTGTGAGAAAATATTTATTTCATGATAATTATGCGGCCGCCCATCTCACAGACAAGTGACTGGGTGGTGTACAACAAAGCTGAAAACAATATATACAAACAAATATTATTATTATTAAAAACTTTAAAATTATAAAAGGCACAAAACTAAAAAAAATAAAAAATATTTATTGGGCGAAGAGCAGGTGTTAATTACACTAGAGCCATCTCAATATTTCGCCAGTCCCCTGGCCTCCTCAGGCCTGATGACACAACCAGGTCTTGAGGGACCTCCAGAAAGTTAAAAGGGATGAGGCCAGCCTCACTCTGGGGGGAGGGATGTTCCATAAAGCAGGGGCCATAGCAGAAAAGGCCCATCGCCTAGGACCCCCCAAGTGAAGCTCCCTAACCATTGGGTCCTGCAGCATGCCGTCTCTGCTAGATCTAGTGGGACAGGCAGATGTAATCATAGAGAGGTGGTCCCTCATATAACCTGATCTCATGTAGGGCTTTAAAGATCAAAACCAGCACCTTGAATTGGACCTGGAAACAGACTGGTAACTAATGTAGCTCGCAGAACAGAGGTGTAACGTGTTCTAGAAAACACATAACTGCCTGCGCTGCTGCATTCTATATCAGCTGAAGCTTCCAGATACTCTTCAAGGGCAGCCCCATGTAGAGTGCATTACAGTAGTCCAATCGGGCGATGACTAGGACATGAGTGACTGAGTAGAGCCCCTGACGCACAATATGAAGTTGAGCAAAGGCTGTCCTAGCCATTACTGCCACCTCAAGCAGGAGTTATAAGAACCCCCAAATTAGGTACAGGGTCTGCTTGGGGCAGTGCAATCCCATTATACCAAGATGGTATAGTCTTAGAATCAGCAGGCCCCAAACTCAGTCTGGGCTCAGTGTGGCTCTTCCCATGGTCAGTACTGGCTGATCCAATTGTGGCCCCGTTACTTATGCTTTGACTCTGTCCTTTGCTGGTAGGTGGCTCCTGACTAGGCTGTTGTTGAACAATTAGAATTTTGAATTATGCTTCTTTAATTAAGACAATGTAAATATCTAAATACCTAAGCATCATGTAAAAAGTAATTTGTAGGATCAACCAAATTTAATCCAGCTAACCATTGACTGGAATCCAAAAAGGCTATAATAATATTCTGCACATGCATCTGGAGGTTTTTTGGTTTTGCCATCTGCTTTCCCCCTAGGGCCTCTTGGCCCTTCTCATTCTCTGTCAAGTTATGTTTGAAATTTCTATCTAATAATTCTATTACAGTGCTGTGCTGTTGCATTGCAAGAAAAGAAAGTATGGGATTCCTGTCCCCTAATGCTCATGCTCTTTAGATTTTAGTTAAAGAGGATGGGTGTACCATTTGTTAATCCAGTTGTATGATGCCTTTCAATATGAAGGTTTTGTGTTTGAGTGTCCTGGCTAATAACCACTGCACACCTTGAATTTCTCTTGTATTTATTAAAAGCTATCGGGTAGTAATTGTCATTCCATCCTATAACAAATTGCTGTGTTTTGTTTGCATTTAATCTACTGATTTCAGTTAATGTTGTTTTAATTGTGATTGGTTTTGTTCAAACAGGCAGTACAATTATTTGATCTTTTGTTATATGAAATATCCGATGAAGCCAAAAGACTAACAAACAAGAATGTACAGTTAAAGATGACATTGAGAAACCATCTGCAGGTATAGCTCAAAGAATGTGTCCATATCTTGTTTTTGCACAATTTTAATATTTTGGGGCCAATTTATACCAACTACAAAAAAATAAATCCATTGACAATGTGTGAGCAGTTGCTTTTGTTCATTATATGTGAGTATATTATCTGTATGTATAACAAAAGGCATCTGTCTACGTTATTTTTTGGATAAAAAAAATATGTAAGAGTCAGTTGAGAGTTATCTTAGATGTTTAGCACAGTAGAAACTGAAATGAGCTGAACATTTTCTGCAGATTTCTGTTAATATTTATTTGACCTGCCTCTGCCTATTCTCATCCATGTTGAGAATACAAGTATGCTTTGAAATAATTGCTAATAACTTAGATATGTAGTATCAAAAAAAGCAATTATTTGCAACCGCTACTTTTTTCTCTGGGTTGCTGGATTTTTTTCAGATGAATGTTTTCTGCCTGGGGCAGCTATATTGTTAAGACAGCCTTATTAAGGCAGGTTGAGCCAGCTGCTGAGCTAAACAACATTAAGTTTTTCATACATGTTCATAAGTTTAAAAATTGTATTTTCAGTGACAGAAACAAAGCTAGTTTGACCTTTACATGGTACATAGCAGATGCTAGGTGATCTTTGTAGTATGGCTAAACACATAGAAATATATTTTAAAACTGACTTTTTGGACCTTGTTGTCCAAAGTATTTATTTAGTTACCTTTTTTCCTTGAAGTCAAAATTTAATAGTTAAGCAGATAATTTTTAAGACATCAGAGTTCTGCTGCAATGTTCTTTTTGCAACATTTATTGATACTTTTATTAATATCATTTTTTCTTACAGGCCCTGATACATATGTTAGAAGTATTAACGGGTTGCGTGCAACACATTTGTACTACACAGGAGATGGTACCCTTAGAACATGTCTATAGTCTTCCATCTTCTGTTCTTCATGTAATCAAGAACACATTTATACACTGCAAGGTTAGTGAAGTTATGTACTCAACAGATTTTTAAAATGAGCTGACAGACAAGAAACTGGTGAGGCGAGTTAATACTAAAGCCACCTTTGGTTTTTAAGAACTGAAGTTGCAAAATTAACAGGAACAGATTATATGATAGAATTGATTTTATTGTTGTAACCATACATGGTAAAAAATAAAATAACTGTGTCTAAAGTACAAAGAAAAAAATAAATATACAGTATATGTGAAAAATCAGTTTTGAAAGGTGACCAATTAATTTTAAAAATAAAATAATAAATAATTGATTTCAGTTGTGCTTTTACATATGCCTTTCCTTCTATTGCCAGAAGTGAAATTAAGATTATTGCAGACCAGCATCTTCATCCTCATTACATTTTAAATGTAATTTATCATGAAACCTCAGTGCAATATAAATCAAAATATAATACAAGAATATTAGAGTATAGAAGGGTGTAAACCACTTTAAATTTTACCCATTTTTAACTCAGAGAAGGCTTTTTTGATGTCACCAAAAGTATTCTAATCTTGAATGAGACATGTTTTAAGCTCGAAGCAGTTCCAATTCAAAGTGTTTTTATGTTGCTAAGAAAATATTTGATTTTACTATAAAATAACACATGTGCTTGTGTGCTTTGAAAGCAGTACTGAGAAAGTTGGTTTGTAATTTAGTTTGATAATAGTGTTCTGCACACTGATATCTTTCTTACAAAAATTCTCCTGGACTGTCTCATATTTTGTTGAGTAACAGCTGCAGATAATATGAAAGATGAAATGATCTGGATTATTAATTAATTGAATAGATGCTTCCAAGTTCCTTGGCCCATATAAACTGTTGATGTAGTAATCTAATCATTTTATTTTTGTTTTTCTATTTTGCTACAGAACAGTGAATCTTTATATGCTGAGTGTCTCCATGTGGTTTCTGATTTACTTCAGTCTTTGTTTAAGGGGGCCTATAGTTTGCAAAAACAGCTTATGATGCTGCTTGATATTTTGTCTGTAAATTCCTGTGCTACTGAAGACAGTATAACAATTATGGCATCAGGTGTGTATTTTTAAATAGATCTCACTTTATTGGTACAAGGCACTGAATCTCCAAATTCTCTTCCTTTTTATGAACATTGATGTTTAAAGAAAGATAATTTTATAAAAGTAATAGAAAGTCTTCATTGACTATATATTCAATTTAGCCATCTATTGTGTTAAATATTGAATTTTTCTTGCAGTTAATTTTTATATTTATTTCCTCTATAGTGATTCACACTATGCTGGAGATCTGCTCTGCTATTTCCAGCATAGATCATGCACTTCATGCAAACACGTGGAAGTTTATAATCAGGTATATATTAAGCTATCAGTGTTATTAGTAATGTTATCTAAAGTTTGGAATGGGATAGAATAGGATAGGACAGGATAGGATTGGATGTTATTCTCAAAACTTCAGTTTGTAACAAGTAAAATACCCCAACCCAACACAAATTACCAAGAAAAAAGTTAAAAGATATTATTTCAAAACAATACAAAACCAGAAGCAATGTAACTAATCTCAGTCTTTTAATACAACAAAAGCAAAGCTACAATTTAGCCAGAATAGAAAGGCACCTCTTTCTTATTTTGATAGACAGGAAGATGAAAATAAGCATGGTAGGTAAGAACATAAGAACAGCATAATCAGGCAAAGAGCCATTTCCATCCAGCATTCTGTATCTTGCAGTGGCAAACCAGGAACCTTGGGAGTATTCAATAGCAGGAGATGCAGACATACCTTCTCTCTCCCTTGTTCCACTGCAGCTGGTACATAGAGGCTTGCTTTCTCCAACCAGGAGGGCTACTGAGTCTTCAAGATTTGATAGTCCTCCATGAATTTATCTAGGACTCTTTTAAAGCCATCCAAGTTAGTGGCTATTATCAGATCCTGTGGTAATTAATTCCACAGGTAAGTTATGAGTTTGAGTGTAGAAGTACTTTCTTTTGTCTGTTCTAAATCTCTTTCCTACCTAGCAATCTAAATTTAACTTCCAGGATTGACCGACTAATCATAAGGTTCTTCAACTTACAATTCATATATATGGCTTCTGTTCCTGTTCAGTAGTGTATTCAGAATGTTCTAAAACTTAGGATTTGGGGCAGGAGGTATGTCCATTTTGTAGTATGCATTATGTATGGGTAGGGCTTTTACCACTTCTGACTGCTGGAAGGATCATGGATTGTTATTCTAGGATCATTATTCAGCATTCTCTGTCTCTGGTGATCTCACGTGATTAAATTTTAGAACCTGTAAGGGTGCTTTTTAAGAATAACAAAACTGTGGCAATAAGTTCTGACTCATGATCCCCAGAGAAGACTGTGTGGTATGTCCACGTTGTCAAGCTTGTTCCAAGCAGGCTTGCTGTAACTCCATGACTTCCAAACATCTCTGAGAACAGGCTCCAGCTGCAGTGGACTTTGGGGGAGAATCACATCTATACAAGCCCGCCAAATTTGTAGAATGTGAGTCCCATTTCTGGATGTCACAGTTTGATCAGTCTTGATGAAGGGTCAGAAAATGCCACCTGCATTCTTCTAGTCAGGAGCATTGTCCCTTCAGCATCTGGTAGATCACTCAACATGAATCTCCGGAATCAGGGCATTTAGTCACAAGTGTAGGCCTGAAGTACAAAAAGAAAAAAAAAATCTAAGTCAGATCCTTTTTTTCAGTTCCTCTAGTATTGTCTGCATCAATAGTGACAGACACTGTGTCTCCCTTTGTCCCAGGGCCTCCTTTCTTCTGCATGTGTGGTTTGAGGAGAAGTGCTGATTTTACATTCTGGTTTTCAGAGTGTCAGTGCTTACTAGGACTGTGAAGCTATTTTTCCCAGGCTTGTGTGGCTGCCCTTTGCAGCTGGGCATGATTCAAAGGAAAGAGTGTTGGGTTTATGGTCTTCCCAATAAGGTACTATGTGCCATACCCACACTTGCTCCAAATCACATTTTGACCTTCAAATCCTAGGACTTATCCCCTGAGTTCATTGTTAGAGAGAATGGTGCCTAAGTACTTGTTCTACTATCTGATTATCATTTAAGAACCGTTGAATGTTTGTCTTTGCCAGGCAGAGTCTCAAGCACAAATCCTTAATAAAGGACAGTTTGAAACATTCTGATATCTTTAGTAGCCTTTGTGAGGACATCTTGTTTTCTTTCGAGTCTTGCTTGCAGCTGGCTGAACAAATGAAGCTGTCTGGAACGCAGGTGAATAGATTATTAATAGCACATTCTTCCTTAATCTGAGGCTCCCCAAATGGGTTGGGAGGAAAGGTATCAAGTCCCAGCTAGTGTGGCTGCTAACCTTAATGTGGTGCTGTAAAGCAGTGGCTTAGCAGAGACTTCATGAAAAAAATTATGTAGGTTTCTTAAATTGAGCATAACATAGTCTGGCATACAAATTATAATTTTTTCAGACTGGCCATAAGATGCCTGACATATAATGGAAGCAAAGAACATGTTAAAAATCAGCCTCTTCTGTTTTCAGAATCCTTAAGTACATGTATCAGATTATTAAATTCATGCAACTAAAAGGGGCACATTAGTAGCTGTAGCACAACTTTTATAATATAGCCAGGTCTTCCTCCTCCACCTTCTTCTGAACATGTTGCATTGTCATTATGCATGTACATCGTGATTAGTAGGCCCAAATGTTGCTTTGGTACGCTGAATTGGCTTGTCCAAGGGAGTGGGAATGGGATAACTTAAACTTAGATAATTTTTCTACGACATTATTAATGCTGTACTTTTGAGGTATTCTATTTATTTTCTTTTGAATAGGAGATTATTGATTACAAGATATTCCAGAGAACAATCAAACTCTGTAGATTCTTTGCCAATTCTCTAATGCACTACACCAAGGTAAGAGTTTGCAACTGGCTTAATTTTATTAATATTAATTTAGTGTTCTTACTAATGGTGATGCCATGCAGTTGTTACCCAAAGCTACAAATGAATATGGCTAAGCTTCAGATAGTTTCTGATGTGTCCATTACTAAAAATCCTTTCCATTCTTTTTCTCTAAATCTTTTATTTGAAATGAAGATTTTACAGTTTCAACAAAACATTATCTGACATTACATGTTTGATAAAATCAGTAATTACATTTTTTTTCCTAAGAAGGCTATAGCTTTTCTTTGAGCATATATACAAAGAAAAGCTGACTTAATCTTTGACAAAGGGCTGTAATGCTTACATGCAATACTTTAGTAACATCTGCATCAACTTGTTTGGATTTGAAATATGAATAAAATTAGCTGATTTTTCAAATTATTTAATTAGATTGCTAACTTTAAATTTAAAGGGATTTCCTTTTAATTGTTAATATATAAAGGTATTTAAGGTTTATCCATCTATCAGATTAATGAAGCTAGAAATTAAGTTTCTGTGTCCCCTAGAAAAGTCTGGGGAAAATAAAAAGAATGATGATGATGATATCTAGCCAGTAGCCCAATAAATCATAAAGTCTTCTGTGCTTCTTAGTGGATCCAAGTCTCCTAGGTTTTTACAGCCATAGAACCCAGGAGATACCATGTGCAAAGCCCCTCCATGTGATCATGAGCTCTGCTTTTTATGGGTGATTAATTACACAATTTATTTCTATTCTTCTGGAAAATAAGTTTTTTCTCCAAACTGTTTTTATAATGCATTAAAAGAATTATAATCGGAGCCCAGCTTACAGCTTCATACAGTGTATTATTCTGAAGCTTTCTATATGCAACAGGGCATATTTCAGAATGAATTATCACAGGGTTTAATTAATTAATTAATTAATTTTATATGCCACCCATCTCCCCCAACAAGCAAACATCTATGCTTCTACATTCTGAAGTAATTTTATTTTTAATTTGTGTATAACTTAAATATATGTAGATGCTTAGGAGCTATTCATTGAATGGTAGTAAGGTATTTTTGATACAGTAGTTGTATCTTAAATGGAGAGAGATGAATAAGCCTTTCACATACATTTACTTTCCTTCTCACTTTGAGGCCTAACTGATTAAACTAGACAGTTTCTGATTAAGTACAGCTTCTTTTTTCAGCAATTTGAAAACAATTTTAACAGAGAAATTTCAAGTTAATTTCTAATTTGATAGTTCAAGGAAAAAAACAGTATTTGTAAAAAATGATTGCCCAAACTGCTTTGGTATCTTTATGTAGTTTTGTATTATTTGTTTTGTAGTACAAATGATGTCTAAAATTTAGGATTATGCTTCTTTTGATTGTATTAGGGCTCTCTTTTTCTAAGCCAATATGTTTTAATTGTAATAAAATCCAGTTACATATTTCCAGTTTCTATATTTCCAGTTTCTTCTGGAAATATATACCTTTCAGAAAGGGAAATTTAGAATTTGATAGACATTTTAAATTTAATATATTTGAAAGTCTCTGTAATAATTAAGGAACATACTACATATTTGTATCATTTATTCTTGTGCTAGATGTAAAATGGTGGAACAATTATCTAAGTAAGATTCCAGTGTTAAAGTAATTGGCAGTCTTTTTTTTCCCGTAAACACATTCCTGAACTGGGTATGAATGTTTGTTGGTATCAGGCAAATACATTCCTATTTCTAGGATATAGTGGCATCCACAGGATGTTGCTGCTTTTATCAGAATGATGAAAGCAGTGTTGTGCTGCCAGCTCTATCTCTATTTTGCACATGCATGCAATATCATGGATCATGTGCAAAAGGGATGCAATGCCACAATGCTGCGTTCGTCTGTTTGGTTTCCCTTGCTCCTCCTTCCTCCCCTGGGATGTCTCTGCTAAGTTAAGAACTGCTGGTCATGTCAGAACCTCAGACTAAAACAGCAATTGCCCAATTCTTAATTGCTCCTTTTTGGCTCCTCCTCACAATGGGAGCAACTGATAGACAGCAGAACCTCCTTGCATGGTTTGTTCAGTGTCATGTACTAACTCATAGCATCTGTCAGTTGAAAGTTAATCTTTACATGTTAAGAGTCTTCCCTTTGTGGTGGAGGGACAATTAACAATATGGTGCATGTTCTCATTTATAAAGATGCCTGACTATATTTTAAAGCTCACTTTTTAACTGTTTAGGCCATTCAGATCTATTTTACATTCAGTTGCTTTAAGCTGACAGATATGACTCAGTTTCTTTGAATGTAGCCAAATGCTGGTTTACTGTTTGTAAAATTTGCCATGACCTAACCACATCAACCATACAGCTACTTCTGTTTTATTTATTCATTTAACTTTGTATATTTTAAACATTTATTATGTTTTTAGTGGAACTAAATGAGTGCCATAAAGTATGTTCTGTACTAGTATTGGGGGGAAGGGAGGCAAGATTCAAAACGTGCATTGTGTTAGCATAGTGCAAATGCCATGACTTTGTACTTGCATTTGACATCAGGATGTCTGTTGTGCCAGTTGGTAATTCTGGTTTGTTCTCTACCTAACAAGCCAGCACTAGAAACCAAAAACATTTCAAGGCTTCCAGTTCTAACTTGTTGAGAGAGGAGTAAGTCAGAATTCCTAGTTAGCATGTTGTGCTAAACAAATTATACAACAAACTTCCATGATCAGTTCAGCTGTTACTTTAGGTAGTATACTAACTTTAGGATCCTATTAAATGTTCACCCTAAAGGTAGTATTCCATGTAGTGCCTCTAAATCAGCAAAAATACTTCTTCATGGAAATAGTCTGAACTGCAGTGCAACCTAAGTAACACTAACTGTATTGGCAAACGTATTGTTAACCCCATTTCTAGATTTTAAAATGGCTGCCAGGAGATCTTGCATATCACATCACCCCAACACTGAATGCAGTCCTGTCCTTTACAGAGATGCTGCCAAACCACAATGACAGTGACTGGGCCATATGCACCAACAAGCTGCTCAGTTACATAAAAGCAAACTTCACCAGATTTCTTGCTTAATTTAATGTGCAAGTCTGTTGCCCTGCAGAACTGTGTGTAACCTCAAGGTTATACAAGATAATAAAAGTTCAAATGCATAGTTTTGAATCAGTGTATTCTTTATAATTAATCATGATAATATTTGATTCATATTCTGTCTTCTTACTTAAGTATTCAAGGCAGCTAACCAAATTAAAAATACAAACAGTAAAAATAAAAACATTAATTCACATTAATTCATAAATTAATCAAATAAAACCCGGGCACAAGAGAGAGTAAGGGCAAGACACAATTTCTGAGGTAATGCAGCCCACAACTTGGGAGAAATGCAGGAGAAGGCCATCTCCTGTGTACTAGAGAAATGGGCCTCTGAGAGGAAAGACATCTTCAGAACAGCCTGTCCTGCATATTTTAGTATCCAGCTAGATATATGAGAGAAACAGTTCCCTTAGGTAGCCAGGCCGTAAGACTGTTGGGTTTTTAAAAGTTAACATTAACACTCTAAACAATACTTGGAAAGCAGTGAGTAACCAGGGTAGATCTTTCAGTATAGGAATCTTTGATTCTTGTATCTTGTGCTAGTTTATACCTAGCTGCCACGTTTTGAGCCAGTTGAACTTTGCAGTACTTTTCAAGGCTGGCTCTAAGTAGTATACATTGCAACAGCTGAGAGTTGAACTTTGCAGTACTTTTCAAGGCTGGCTCTAAGTAGTATACATTGCAACAGCTGAGAGTTGAACTTTGCAGTACTTTTCAAGGCTGGCTCTAAGTAGTATACATTGCAACAGCTGAGATGGAATGTGATCAAGTTGTGGATAACGTTTACCAAATTTGAATGACTCAAGAAGTAGCTTACTAGACATAATTGTACAAATAGGTTTCTCATCACAGGTGCCAGCACAGCTGAGGATCAAGGAGCATTCCCAGTCTGTAGACTTGGTCTTCTAGAGGGAGCAGAACCCTATCCAGACTCTCAGCCTTTGAATCCAGTTTACTGTTGTTCAGGATCCTCTCTGTCTGATTTTTTTTTTTTTTTGGCATTTGTATTTAACATTGTTTGCTTTTTAGGAGTTCACTTCATTCCTGGTGGATTCTTGCTATCAGCTTCATCAGACATATCTTCAAATATACAGGTAAATGAAACATAGCTAGTAACTAACTTGATTTTACTGTAGAATGCTCCCTCCATCAGTGTTTTTTGTGCTTGAATTTGAAACTAATTTGAAAGCCATTTTCCTGGAATGATTTTCAAATTTGGAATTACAAAACTCTTATCCTGGCATTTTTGGTATCAAGAAATGAGCCACATAAAGTCCAGTGCTGAGTATGCTGAATGAGTTTGTAATGGCGTTGCTGTCTTATGGATTACAATAAGAGAAAAGATAATCTCCTGCTTTCCCAAATTGTATGCCTTACATATGTGTTGGCTTGTAACATCCATGATAACTAGCCGCCATAGCCAGTATGGAATTTAAAAATGTTAAATTGTTTCCCTATAAGCCAGATATTTTTTTCCAGAGGATCTCTGGTTCTGATAGCAACAGCATCTCCAGACAAAAAACATTCTACTGTTTCTCTGCTGTTCCTCAGATTTAACTGTTAAATTAACTGTTAAATTAACTAAGTTCCAGGAAAAAATTCTTTGCTGCCAGTTTTGGAGTCTTTGGGATGTATATTACTCCATTAGATAACAGGTAGCTGAAAAACACGTAGCAAACACATTGATCACTAGTAGAGAGAATGCTAGCTGGTATGGTTAGGATTGGCTGGAAAGGGCCAAAGTTTTATATTATTCAGAACTGGAACAGAACTTAAAGTAGACCAAAGACAGAGAAGCTCAAAATGTTTATATAGTATGTATTAATGCCCTCCCACATATTAGTATTTCACATACACAAATCATTTTTATCACATTTCTGTCTACCACCTAGCCAGGTTTAAACCAATTTAGGATCTTTGTCCTCTGTAGGCACACCAACAAACTGCAATTTACCCCATAGCAAGAGGAATGGGTGGCCAGCCATGATGTATTGAAATGAAAGCTGCTGGGAGATGTTAGTTGCTAGGTACATCATTGAAGAGAAAGCTGAATAAAGAGAGGTGAAAAGCTGAATGAATAGCTGAATTAGCTAGCTCTTTTTCCACTTATCCAGAATAACGTGCTGGATTCTAACAGCAGTTTTCAGTCAGTCAAATCTGGACATTATTACAGTTTTTATTCCTTTTTTGGAAGGAAGACATTGGGGCATATTGTTTTCTTCTGATATCTGGAATATTATCTTCAGGTACTAGTCCTACAATAATTTCATCCATGAGAATGAGCCATTTGGCTACTGATTGCGGGGTCTCCTTTCCCATAACCTCTGGTGTGGAATACATTATTTCCTGTTCCTTTTCATTCTAGCATGTCCTCTTTCATTGGTCATGTTTACAAATGAATGGATATTCTGGCATGATTTTCCATCAACCTGATCATTAGTCATGTGATAAACACCTACTGACTGTGTTCTGAGAGCTACAGACTTTTTGCTCAAACATGGATCCTTTTAGGTTTAGTCAACCTTCATATTTCTTGCAGCTCCTGCCCATTTAATTATATTAATAGACTTCTACTGGATTTTTTTTTACCTTGGTGGTGGAACCTAACTTACAATGTTTTGGATGAGATGAATGTGAAGGTAAAGGCACATATATAGGACTTTATGGGGATTTGAACAACATGGGAAAAAGAAAGAAATGACATGCCACCAACCTGGGCTCTCTCCCCTTACTGAAGTCAACTAAACAACCAAAGATAGAAGAACACTTTACATAAATATAAATTTATGGCATATTTATAACATAAAATATTTGTAACCTTAACTTATAGAAACCATATAGTACCTTCTCTGAAATGTTAACTTTATAGGGTTTCGTCCTTTTATACATGTATGTAACTTTTCATATTTTGTTCTTGTGATAGTTCAGGTTCCATTCAAAGGGGTTAAGTCCGGAAAACAGCATGTAAGGCAAATGATTGCTCTTTTTAAGATTTCAGTCTAATCAGAAAAAAAGCTTTTTAAATTTAATATTGCATATTCTAGTTACCATTTCATGTATACTTCATAGTAATGAATAAGTATGATGTGAATTAGACTGGAAATATTCTTAATGTGTGCCAAGACAATTATAAATGAGAACAACTTCAGCATTTACTTGAATACAAACTTTTTAAAAATTTGATGTTCAGTCTTTTCTTTGTTATTGATGTTGTTCAAGACTGCAAATTCCCTCCTGTTATTAGCAGAAATCTATTTATCTATTCTCTCCTGTCGGTTGATCACCACTGTGAAATTCTGCACTGGACTTCTTTATGTTGAGGCAGCTTCTTAATTAAAAAAATATTGAGCAAGATGCTTCAGACTGTGATGGGAATCCAACATCAGTATCGCTCCTAGATGAAACTAAAATGGAGGAGGGAGTGCTTTGTACATCATCTTGAAGGGTTATAAAGAAAAGGGATATAAACAAAGGTTTAGATCTTTTATGGTATGGAAAGGAGCCATCTGATTCCTGGACTAATGGATTCCTCAACTGTTTAATCCTCACATAAAATTTAATTTCTACATGAAATCATGGGGGATTGCAGTTGAGTATCTTCTGTATGCCAAATCAAAACAAGAAAGAATTCATTAATGATCAGAAAGTGCTGAATTTATAGGAGGAGCCATTTTAGTCTGCAGGAGTGAATAATCAGAAATAGTTTGGTAATACCTTTTAAGATTATTTTTTTTATAAGGCATAAGCTTTCGTGAATTACCTCACTTTTCCTCCTTGGCTTATCTGAGCACGTTTAAATCCTACGTCAATAAGCCCCTCCATACATCTGTCAAAATGAGCTGCAGTTCACAAAAGCTTATGCCTTATAGTACATTTGTTAGTCTTAAAAAGGTGCTACTAGTGTTTCTGAAGTGCTAAATCTAACCTTTGAACTTCTAATCAGTTGGGAACAGGATATTTGAAAATCTGCTTCCTTCATGCTCTCCAATTTACACGCCGTGGCTGGGCTTGCTCTGTGCCCTGTTGGCTTTCAAAGTGTGTTTGTGAGAAGTGGAACTGAGCTGTAGTTGCAGTATTAAGTTCTATATCACTCTCGAGAGGTATGTCTCATTCTGTCTTGTACAAGAATGGTTTGAGGCACACCTGTCACGACTGAGAAGTCCATGTCTCTTATCATCACTAATCTTTCCTCCCAAGGAGCAGTGGATCTTCAGTTGTCCTTCAAAACATCTGGTTATTAGCCTTTCGTGAGTTTTGACCAGCAATTTGAATTATGCCCAGACAAGGGCCAAACCTAGTGTATTTATTTAAAAAGTGGCTATTTCCATACATTTGTTTTCAGTCCATTATTGTAATCTAAGCAATTTATTACCAGTGGATAGATATTTCTGTGACCAGGATATCTCTGTTTAGGAGAAGTTGCAGTTGAGTTTTAATCTAAGTCTCTAAGGCCACCTGATCATCCAGCAATGACATTTAGCCTATTTGTAAATGGCTCAGCTTTGTACTATTTTGAATTCTAAAAAATTATTTTTAATATTATACCTCAGTAGTTAGTGGCATATTAAGTACAGTATAAGAAATGAAAGTTGCATAATACATACAGTAATGAGACATTCTGCATTCTTTTTCAACAGTAAGTTTCCACCGAGTCTTCATGCTCTGGTGATTTCTGAGGCTCATCAGGATGAAATAGCCAGGGGATTCCTAATGTCACTGGATTCTCTCCTCCTCCCATTGCTTCCCTTTAGGCCTTTCCTAGAAGTCGTGTTAAGTAAAACTTTAGGTAGGTTTAAAAGTCCCGAATGTGCTCCAGTGCATTAGTTTGCAGCAGAGAAATGTTACTGTATATACAAAGACCCTTTTTCCTTACTAGTTTATCGTAGAGTATAAGCTCACCGCAACAGTATTGCATGCATTTTCAAATCAGATGTTGACATAATCTGATCAGTTCAAGTTCTTTTATTTTCTTATCATAGCTAATGGGATTTTCAGACAAAAACAAAGGAGGGAATATGTCAGCTGCATTTGATTTCATTACTTTTTTAGGTACATCGTAGCTCAAGCATGAGTAACCCTGATTGGTTCTAAGTTTTCAAACTGTTAATTAGAACTGAGACTAAATACCAAAGCGGGAAAGAAGAAAAGATGCAGTTTAAACTTTTGGAAAACCAACAGCAAGTATTTTAAAAAGATGGGATTCCTTGTAAGATAGTTTAGGTTGTCATTAGAAATTTCAGTTCCATGCTTTTTAGATGCACTATGGTTAGGTGTAAATTTTTGCATGTGGATTTGTGAGGCCTATCAAACATGAGAACTCAATAGAAATTATTTATTTATTTGCTTTCTTATTTATTTAACCAAAAGGCATGTGCTGTCTATTTTTCCAAACTTCAGCTCTCTCTCCTGAGCTGTATTTTCCACAGTGTCAGCTGCTTCTTTCTATAATGGACGTGTTACCATCCCAGCCCCATGATGTGCAGACTCTTTGGAACAGTGGAAGTCAGTTCCCAGAAGAGTTTCCCAGGTGATTTCTTGCTATTGCCACAAATCTGTGTTGGCATGTATGAGTGTATTTGAGCCGGACTATTCTCCACTGATAAGCCAAGATCTTGACATGTCCTGAACTTGCTTTATGAAAACAGATTACATTGTTTTAGTGAAGGAAATGTAGTATCTGGTTTTAATAAAGCAAGTGAAATTCAACATTGATTTTTAAATTAATCTGTTTTATAATACTAATGCTGTCTGTGACACACTAATTTACATTTAATATATAATTTATATAATTGCTGTCAAACTTTATTTTGTTTTTTTCTGGAAATCTAGTGGTTAATACCATGCTTCAGTTCAATTTGTTTTAGTGATGCATGAGGGCTTGTGCCAAAGATCTGGTCACTGATTTGTAGACCAAGAACTGTTCTGTTCTATTTCCTTACAGGTTGTCCTTGTTTGCAGCCCTACTGCTCAGTCTTCGGCAGTGCTCTAGTGAGCTTTCCCTTCCTGTCTTCTTGCCAGGAGCAATAGAGACAGAACAATCTGAGGGTCCTGTCACTTTTTACCGCTATGTATGCATCCACTTGTGTACCTTTATAACATCCCTCTCGGTTACACACTTCCATTTACTGGTAAGGAATATTGCAACTCTTGATTTGGAATAGCGCAAAGATTTTCAACCTTTTAAATCAGGCATTTATTTTGGGAGATTTAGATAGGTCATGCTTCACTGATCTATATATAGATTATACCAGTATTATCAAGAAATGTGCTTTTTCTTAAAAAAAAAAAGAAAGAAATACACCATATATTGTTTTCATTATCATTGTTAAAATTGAGCATTACTAGCTTCATCTTTTCAGTACATTGTTGCTCTCTCCTCCATCTGTTCCCGTTGCCTAACCTGTTCATTGTTTAGCTTACGAACACCTAATCTTCTCTAAAGCTATAAATTTCATATTGCAGCATTGAGTTGTTTGTTGGCAATAATTTGATGTACATGGCCAGAAGTCTACTCTTTTCCCCAAACTGAATCATTGTGATTTCTTAATGCAACTATTATTATTTATAATTTCAAAATATGCTCAAGGCTAGTAGCCAAATCCTAAAGTATTTTTCTGTAGTCCTATTCAGCTGCAGGTCTACCTTTTCTGTTTATTGCCTATGGGATGACAATAAAAAAAAACAATTTTTGGTTTCTCTGCATGTGTTTGATGTTTAGGAATCCTCCCTGCTGGAAACTCTATTAGGTCCAAGCATGATCATGGCTGTCCTAGCTATGGATGTCTGGTGCTTCCTTGCCCGGTAAGATCAAAGATGTACTGAAGGATGAGTAGCTATAACAAAGAGTGGCACAACAGCAACTTATCTACTTATCCTTTATATTTGAAAACCAAGAAGGGTATTCCAATTTCTTCTACTCAGACTAAAAATGTGCTTGCTTAGAACCATGCTAAGCTAAATAAGAACTTAAGTCCAAATGTTCCCATTGAAAGATCACCCCAGACTAATAGAGACTGGCTGGACATTGATTCATATACTAATCTTGCTGTCTTTCTCATCTTCTAGATATGGAACAGAAGACCTTTGTGCTCACCATGCATTTATAATAGCTTATTTGGTAAGCAGCATTTGGTTTTGCTTATAAAAAGATACATTTGAACAGAGCAGAAATAGTAAATGGCAAAGAACAATGTGGAGCTTAAATATGTCCACGCTCTGATTCCAGAGTTTTTGATACCTTGGAAAATGTTACTGTACAATAAGGGAAAAATGCTAATTTCCCCCCTCCTTTGCCTGACTTGCTTGTACGCAAAGTGATAAATACTGGTTTTGTAATTTAGAAAAACTGGAGTAGAGAAAAGATAGTCAAACTGGTTACTGCACTGGTGATGCTGGGCACATACCTAAACGGAGTGCCTTTGGATTACATGAAGTAGTATTCCTGGCCCAGCCAGTGCTTCTCCTGGGGGCTCTTTCCCTGAATGTTGCCACCTGGATGAAATGCTTTTGGGGGCTCAGTTGTAATTAATTTTAGTAAGCGTTTTTCTTTAGAATGGATTTGGCTCCTTTACTTAAGCTGTCAGGAGACCTTTACCAAACTATTTCTTGTTTTTTGTGTGCTCTGATGTTAAAATTCTTGTTTCTTATGAAAACAAAATAAGTGAATTTGAAGTGGTTGATATGAAAGAGTTATTGGTTAGTTAGGCTAGATAGTCTTATGGCAGACTTTCTGCATTTCTGATGATGAATCTATAATGTTAAGGAGATAAATAGGACACTGGATTGGTTGCTGCCTAAAATTATGCCAATGTATGCATAGTTGCAGATTCTGGACATTCAATTAAATTTGACTAAATATTGTTTCCTTTAAAAACCAGTTGTTTTGTGTTCCAATTTAGATAAAAGCTTGTCCTGCTGAATGTTATCAAGTCTCTCTCCTAGGGGTGCTATTAAGACGTTTGCTCTTTCTGATGGCCCCAGATCACCAGGCAAGTCTCTCCTGATATGGGTCAGCTTATAAATATTGGGCTTTCCTTCTTCAGTGTGAATATCAACTCAACAGCTAATATGAATCAGTTTGAATTGATGAGAATGAATGGTAAAATACACTTGCTTATTATTGCAGGGCAGTTTATTTCTGATGTGTGATTATAACATGGAATGAAAACAAAAGATTTTCTTTCCCTTTAATATGACAATCATTTATTTTTCCACCTGGTATTAAACCTTTTTGGGTGGCTAGAAATACATTTCAGCGTTCTTCATTGTGGCCTCTGGGTTTCTGCCATATGCTCTTTGTGGCTGCTTATGACATCATTCAGAATATTTTAGGGCAGGGTGGGCAACGTACAGTAGGCTTCTGTGCAGCTCCCAGGGCCTCCTCTGATACATATTGCTGAAAATTAGTCGTACAATTCCCATCATTTTGAGACAACAAACATATGAAAATTATAGTGTAAGTCTCCAAATAGGCTTTGCAAAACTTAAAAATCAGAGCCCTTGCCACAAAAAAAACCTCTTCTGAAAAACCAGGCAGAACTCTCCCCTTCCACACACACATACACTTTGGGTTTCTGTATTTGATAAACAGCTTATACAAGATGATAGCCTGAAAGTGGCACTGGTGGTTTGTGTAAGTGTATGTATCTGTAGAGAAGAAGAATGGCTGGACATGACTCCAGAAGATCACGGTGCATAGACTGAGCAGTTGCATCCCTCAGACTGACTGAAGCTTTATAGCCTTTTCCTTTAGTGTCAAAGTATAAAAATATTTTAGGCTTATTGCTATGGGTAGGTTTTTAATCTTTGAAAGAAAGAGTAAGTCGTATCCTGGATAGAGGAGTAAATTGTGTATTTGAATTTTTCCCACATTCATGAAGCCCATGAATTCTCATGCTTTTCTGCCTTTGTTTCACCTTCTTTTAGTTAAAGTTCACCCAAAAGTTTCCTCCCAAAGATACTGAGAACTTGCCACTGTGGCAACACCTTTCGCTCCAAGCTCTGATACCACTGCACAGACACCAAGTTGCCCATGAGCTTTTTGTGGCAGGACTTGCACGATGTCAGGGGTGGTTGAATAGTGAAAAGTCATTGAATGAACTTCCACAAGTGGTAAGAAAAAGCATGAATTGCGGGATTCCTGTTTATGAATTAAAAATTCACGGGGATTATTTTGTCTTCCTTAGTCCCTATCTTTTCTGGGAAGCCTGTACGTAATAGATCAGCATCCTGTGTTTTTTCTTCATAATATGGGGTTTAGTCTTTTCTGGCTTTACAAGGAGGAATGGCCCGACTATGATCTAGCATCCAGAACTATCTATTGCAGTAAATCTACATAAAAGATGAAGAGCTCTGAATTACAGAGCTATTACTTGAAAAGGGAGTGCAGTTAGCTGTTTTTCTCCTCCTTGTGGTTGCAGAGAAAACCCAGAACATACAGAAATAGCTTCTGCTGCTTTCAGTGAACAGAATTTTCCAACAAAGAAAAAGTATAGTTGGTTTACTTTAATTTTCTTATAGCCTCTGAACCTCTCTTACATGCTCCTACTAGGCCAGTGTTTCTCAATCTCAGCAACTTTAAGACATGTGGACTTCAACTCCAGAATTCCGCAGCCAGCATTAAGTCCACACATCTTAAAGTTGCTGAGATTGAGAAACACTACACTAGGCACTTAATCTTTGAAGAGAATTTCACCAGAACTCCATACTGGAGTAGCTGTGCTGTTGGAGGACAAGTCCTAAATTGTTTCTAACTTCTTGCAACTCTTTCCTTGGTTGCTAGAACTCAGCTCTCTCAGCCTTGCTGTCTATGTGCCAGAGTGCTAGGGAGACCCTGGAGGTGGAAGAGCAAGCAGCACTAGTGGGAGCTCTTGGCCAGATTGCAGTCCATCTGCCAGCTACACAGGTAAAGAATGTTCATTTCAGCTGCATTTGCTTGACTTCTTTAGATGCAATGAGTCAGAATCAGAGGACGTAAAACATTTTGCTTGGGAAATGGAAATCATATTCCATGACAGCAAGGGAATAGTACATCTTGTTCCTGCCTTTTATTACAATACCTGTGGTATCTCATTATAATAAATTCTCATATAAATGACAGCATTTAAAATGTGATGACAATAATCTCATGACAAGAGTGTGCCAGAAGAGGGGAAAAAATGCTGTGTGCAGCCCCCATTTCTCATAGGCAAAATGACAGTTTTCAGTGGCATGATTTTCCCTATTTTCTATGAAATAAGTGTATTAAGCCTCTCCCATTACATCCGTACCATATTCCCTGAAATCTTAGAAGCCAATGGAGACTAATTTTAAAAACTGCATCTTCTTATTTAGAAGGTAGTTTACTTCATAATTCACTATACAAGAAGAGTACATACTCTGTAAGTTTTAAAATATGGCTTTTAAATAGTTGATCAATAATAGAACTGACTGCTGAATAGTTGATCAATAATAGAACTGACTGCTACCACAAAGAAACTGTATAGTTCTTCCTGATTATTAACCACTGTATTAATAATTATTAACCACTGTATCTATAGTTCCAAAAACCTCATTTAGTTTAAACAGTGAAACTGGTGCTTGTGACACAAAATGTTACTTTTATCAATGAAGGTATCCAGTGTAGCCTGTTTCCAGCAGATGTTTTGCTTCATACTTCAACTTCTCCAGCTTTTCATTGAAAGATTGGAACCACAGTTGCTAATTCAGGTAAAAAAGATTTGGTGGGTAGGGTTGATTTAGATGCACAAATGACTAATATGCTGCTTTTCAGAGTCAGTTTTAGCTGAATACAGTAATCTGAGGTTATATCAATTATGGGAATATGAGAATGCCATATTCCTGCCCTCTGACAATTATGGAAAGTCTGGCTGTAAATTTCATACTTCCCAAAGTTCTTATTTCCCTGTTTAGTGAATAACTCCAAATTAAAACATCTAAGACAGAGAGCCAGCTAGCCAACATTTGAACACGGCCAGTGAAGAAGATCCCTCTATCTCTCTGAGTTACTGGTTCTGCTGTCAAAATGCTCTGTTAGAAAGTTCTTTCTAACATTCCATCAGAATCTTCTGTCCTGTAATAAAAAACTCCATTTTTCTATGTGTTTAGTTTTCTATGTCCCACCCTCTAGAACAAGAAATAACACATCTTGACTTTCTTCTGTGTGACATCCTTTCTGTATTTGAAATCTGCTATCCTCCTTCTGTCATCTTTTCTGAAGGCTAAAAATAATTTTTCACAATTACTATCACCAGGAATAGTACCCTCCATCGTATTACTATGTGTTTGATTTTTTTTATTAAATACTTAATTTTTCATTGTGTCATTGTTAACATTATCTATTTCTTTCAACTTATTCCTGTAACCTTTTAAGTTTTTTTTAATAGTGCTGCCTTCTAAATATCCCACTCAGTTTTGTGTCATCTACAACTTTGATATTTCATAAGGATTTATGTTTCAAAATATATTTTGATAAAAATATATATCAAATATTTGTATAAACGTTTAATAGAATTTTAGAATATTTAAAAATGGACATAAATATAAATATTCTACTTCATAAGGATTTATCTTCCAAAGCTATTTCATAAGAATTCAGCGATATCTAGAGAACTCATTCAAATTAAAGAGGTGTTCCTCAACTTGATCTGTGTATTCTGTTGCTCGTGCCTTATACAGGCATGGTAATTATGGCTAGGGTATTCTAAATGGGTTGTGTTCTTTTTCTACTCTCTGTCCTAAATTTCTCCACTTTCCCCTCCTTTGTTGGATTTAACTTTTGGGTTTGTGTTGGTACCAATCTTTGCCTACACTAACCATGGTTCCTATCAACCAGACTGGCTAGGATGATTTCCTCAGAATAGAGGTAATTTACTCTGCCTGTATTTTTGAAAGATTATCTGGTATCTATTTCATCTTTTGGCCTTCCTGGATTATACATCAATTTTAAGTCTACCCTCAGCCATAGAAACTCACTGGGTGACTTTAGAGCTATCACTGTCTCTCAGCTCAGTCTCTCTTCTGAGAAGAAGGTCATTTAAAAGTGTGGTTGGGGTAGGAGAATGAGGATTACTGCTTGGGGCCTCACACATGGAGACTTCCCCATCCAAAGTGTATTTTAGTATCTGAACTATCGAATTAAGAGTTTTCATTCAAGGCAACAAAACTAATTAGTTAAATTACAACAGCACGAATTATATCAATATTTCAGGTTTTCCCATAATTACATAGGTATACAATGCAGTGAGAAAAAAGAAGGGTGTCCAAATGTCTATTCTGCCCTTAAGCCTCTCAGAATCTTAAAAAGTCCCTGTTCGTAGGGCAGTGGTTTTGACGAAAAAAAAAAAAAGGCGGGGGGAGAGATGGAATACTATGTATACCACCTTGAGCTCCTGAAAGAAAAAGTAGAATATAAATCTAATGACTAACACACACAGTAGTCCTTGCTTAAAAGCCACTCGTTCAGCAACCATTTGAACTTACGATGGTGCTGAATGAGTGGTACTTACAACTGGTCTTTGTAGTTACAGTAGTCGCAGTGTCCCCACAGTCACATGATTGTGATCTGGGCACCTGGCTTGCAGTTACGACATCGCAGCATCCTGCGGTCATGGGTTCATCATTTACAACCTTCTTTGCCGGCTTCCTACAAGGAAAATCAATGGGGAAGCGACACGAGGTCACAAATGATGACCATGTGAAGTCCTTGCTTAAGGACAGCACAGGATTCATTTAATGATGGCAACTGGAAGTTTCAGAATTGCTGTTGCTAAGTAGCCTGGGTCACGTGATATTACGCTTTACGAACGTGTCACTTATCAACGGAAATTCTGGTCCCAATTGCCGTCTTTAACAGAGGACTACCTGTAATATTGAACCATTCAGTTTAGGTTCAAATTTTGGATGGGCATAGTGTTATACTACGTTGATGACTAAATTCCATTTCTGTGTTACCATAAAATCAGGACAAATCAAGTAATAATATGTGTCTATGAGTGTGAAATTCATAAAACAAGATATGACTATTTCAGTTCTGAGACAAAGTCAGTCCAAGCTGACCTGCTACTTACATAAATGAGTTCTTCAGAATGCTTCAGCATTCATTTTTTATTTTACTGAATACTGTATTCAGTAGCATCTGTACCCGATAAAGGCAGGGAAGTTTATCTTATGAAAAGGATGAAACAATAAATGTCTGAACAAATTGAATCTTGATCATAATAAGCAGCATTATTTTTCAGTGTAACTTATTTTCTGCTATTTTCCTTATGTTTGATACTTATTTTCTCTGTAGATACTTTCACTACAAACTTCCCTTCTGCAACTGAATTCCCCTGATCGTGTTGTGATTGCAGTCTTAGATTTTCTTTCTTCAATGGGAAAACCTTTCATTCCTCCAGATTTCCAGGTAAATAAAGTGAACTGTCATTCTGTTCTCTCTTTTTTGTATGTATTTTATTTGATGTAACCTTTGGAACTGTTATAGTGAAAATAAGAAACAGCAGTTGTACTGCTCTTGAGATGCTACTTTTCAGCTACTGGATACTATATTAATCCAAAAAAGAACAATAACTGCTCTTTGAGCTGTCATCCATGCAGTCAAACATGCAGATCTGCACTTACACAAAATGTTCTAAAGCTGGCTTCCAGGGAAGAAATGGCTGATTGAATATGGCTCTGTTCTTTGTGGACCCGATGCCCATGGCAATTAGAGGAGTTGGCCTCAGTCCAGCTGTTCGGCATCATCTTCAGATAAAGGAGATCAGCAGGATCACCCACAGGTACTCCTGACAGAGATTCCCTGTGAAGAGATTGCAATCTAGCAATGTCTAGCGGGTGGAGTGCTCTGGGAGTCTAGGGAAACATCGAGCCCAAGCCGTGGTGCGGAGCCTTCAAACGGACACTAGATCAGCTTTACTTCCTCTTTTAACTAACATCGTAAACTGCCTATTCGTGATTTATTTGGCAATTTAAAACCTCCTGAAAGACAAGTTGCTGTACACC